CTCTTATCGGTACCACATCACATCAACTTAGAGGTTTAAATGAAATTTTGGTTGGCTCCTTGTTTGTTATTCTCTTCCCTCATTTTCTTTTATGTCTTCATCAGTAGGGACAATTATAGGCATACCCATGTTTGGATTGCATTCTAGCCCGGGCAATAAGGCAATACCCCCATTCTCTCTCCCTCTTCCTCTTTCTCTTTCTTCCTCTTCTTTATTCTTTTTCTTATGAAAAAAAAAAAAAAAAAATGAGTCACAAGGAAGGCTAGCCAGATGTACAAAGAACAGTTGGCTAACACACTGTCTCCACTAGTAAACTGATGTCAACTCCTGCAATAAGCCCCTGTAACCAATGTTCTCTTTGCTTCACAACAACTTCTGTGGGCTGGGTACACTCATGCCTGTAACTCCAGCACTTTTGGAGTCCACGGTGGGAGGATCACTTCAACTCAGAATTAAAAACCAGCCTGGGCAACATGGTGAGACCCTATCTCTAAAAAAAAATATTTTTGGAGAGATCCAAGATGGCTGATCACTAACAGCTCGGGATTGTAGCTCCCACTGAAAGCACAAAGAATGAGAGGACGCCACACCTTCACATGAATTCTTGTTGCTCACGCACCAGGAGATTCCCAGCGGAGGAGCCCCAAGGGTCGCCAGCGCGACTCTTGTGACCGGTGAGGCGGTTTTGCCGGCGCCTTGGAGCGACGGTTCTTGGTGCAGAGTCGGAAAAGCACCATCAATCTTAACGCCGCTGATTTGGTCGGTGCAGTGGGTTGCTCAGATTTCGGCGCTGAGAATCAGTAAGTTGGACGTCCACTCAGAAACCTAATTACAAAGACGGTGAATTCAAAGACCACAGATGGATAAATTTATAACGAAGGGAGGAAAACGGCCAAAAAAGGCTGAGAATGCCCAAGATCAGAACGCCTCTCCCTCAGCGGGGGATCACAGTTCCTCATCAGCAACGGAACAAGGCTTGATGGAGAACGAGTGTGTTCCAATTACAGAAGCAGGCTTCAAAATGTGGATAATGAGAAACTTCTGTGAATTAAAAGAACTTGTTCTAAACCAATCTAAAGTAACTAAGAACTTTGCAAAAAGATTTGACGAAATGTTAACAAGAATACACAATTTAGAGAGGAATATAAGTGAATTGATGGAGCTGAAAAACACAATAGGAGAACTTCGTGAAGTATGCACAAATTTTAACAGCCGAATTGATCAAGCAGAAGAAAGGATATCAGAGGTCGAAGACCAACTCAATGAAATAAAACAAGAAGACAAGATTAGAGAAAAAAGGATAAAAAGGTACGAGCAAAGTCTTCAAGAAATATGGGACTATGTGAAAAGACCTAATCTACGCTTGATAGGTGTACCTGAATGTGACGAAGAGAATGAATCCAAGCTGGAAAATACGCTTCAGGACATTATTCAGGAAAATTTTCCCAGCCTAGTAAGGCAGGATAATATTCAACTCCAGGTAATACAGAGAACACCACAGAGATATTCCTCAAGAAGAGCAACTCCAAGGCACATAATCGTCAGATTCACCAGGGTTGAAATGAAGGAGAAAATACTAAGGGCAGCCAGAGAGAAAGGTCAGGTTACCCACAAAGGGAAGCCTGTCAGACTTACAGCAGATCTCTCAGCAGAAACCCTACAAGCCAGAAGAGAGTGGGGGCCAATATTCAACATCCTTAAAGAAAAGAACTTTCAACCCAGAATTTCACATCCTGCCAAACTAAGCTTCACAAGTGAAGGAAAAATAAAGTTTTTTGTGAATAAGCAAGCACTCAGAGATTTCATCACCACCAGGCCTGCTTTACAAGAGCTTCTGAAAGAACCACTACACATAGAAAGGAACAAACAGTATCAGCCTTTCTAAAAAAATTATCAAAAGAGCATCAATATAATGAAGAATTTATATCAACTAATGGACAAAATAGCCAGCTAATGGCAGTATTAAACTCACATATATTATTATTAATTCTAAATTTAAATTGACTAAATCCCCCAATCCAAAGACAGGCAATTTGAATAAAAAACTAAAACCCATCAGTATGCTGCATCCAGATCCATCTCACATTCAAGGATACACAAAGACTCCAAACAAGGGATGGAGAAAGATTTACCAACCAAACAGAGAGCTAAAATAAATAAATAAAAAGCAGAAGTTACAATTAGGCAACAAAGATCAAAAGGAGCAAAGAAGGACATTATATAATAATAAAAGGATCAATGCAACAACAAGAAGAGCTAAAGATCCTAAATATGTACGCACTCAATACAGGAATACGCAGACATACAAGACTTATAAAGAGACTTAGACTCCCACATAATAATAGTGGGAGACTTCAACATTAATATTAGACAGATCAATGAGACAGAAAATTAACAACGATATTCAGGACTTGAACTCAGATCTGGAACAAGTAAATGTAATTAACATTTATAGATCTCTCCACTTTAAATATACAAAATATACACTCTTATCAGTACCACATCATATCAACTTAGAAGTTTAAAAGAAAAAAATATATATTTTTTTTAATTAGCCAGGCATGGTGGTGAATGCCTGTAGTCCCTGCTACTCAGAAGGTTGAGGTGGAAGGATCACCTGAGCCCAGAAGGTTGAGGCTGCAGTGAGCCGTGATCACACCACTACACTCCAGCCTGGGCGACAGAGCAACACCTTGTTTCAAAACAAATAAATAATAATAAATTTTAAAATAAACAAAAATGTAGGCCAAGGCAGGCAGATCACCTGAAGTCAGGAGTTCAAGACCAGCCTGGCCAACACAGCGAAACTCTGTTTCTACTAAAAATACAAAAATTAGCTGGGCATGGTGGCGCACGCCTGTAGTCTCAGTTACTTGGGAGACTGAGGCAGGATGATCACTTGAACTCAGGAGGCAGAGGTTGCAGTGAGCTGAGATAGCGCCCCTGCACTCCAGCCTGAGTGACAGGGCAAGACTCCACCTCAACAAACATAAAAATGTAAAAAATAAAAATAAACAAAAACATAACTTACGTATACTTCTGTTTGCCTTTACAAGCATCCCCTTACCTCAGCCTCCTTGAATGTGCCCATGTTTGCCATGGCACACATATTCTGTATTGCATTATATATTGCAATGCTTCTGCACATTCCCAGATAAGCTCATTATCTTTGGAGAATCTCCTCTGTTGTTTAGGTTGACACCCCTTACTACTACTCTCTCTCCTTTTCTGGAACATGAAGTGTACGCTGGAGCTGGACCATCCATCGTGCAGCGGTAAGGACTAAAGATGGAAACAAAGCCTGATGCCTAGAGGCTTTCTGGAGCTGGATGCCAGCCTGGCTAATTACTTCTGGACTTCATTGCCTGAGTCCCTGGAAATACTTCCAGGCATCTAATCAATTGGGGGAAGGTGTTTGTTTTGGGGGTGGGTTGTTACTTATTGCCAAATGTAATTTCTAGCTGATACATATAGAAAATTGTCTGTTAAATTGTTCTGCTTCTTAGGTTCATTATGTAACTTGTTTTGCTAAATAAATCACTCATTTTTCCAGGTTTTTACATTTGTCTCAGTCACACAATGAAACGTTAAATTATCTGACCTTATTGTATATTGGTATATCATTTTCTCATTCTTAATTTTGTATACTTTACTTTTCCCCTTTGATCAATCGAGCTCACTGACATGTTAGATGCACTTACTTGTCTCTTAAAAATAGTTATTATATTTAATCTTTCTACTACTTTGTATTAGTTCCTGTTTAATTCTTTTAGCTTAATTTTTTTTTCCATTTGTAAGATAAATACTAAGCTTCTTGAATCTTTTCTTCATTAATAATGTAGTCAGCCAGGCACGGTGGCTCACTTCTGTAATCCCAACACTTTGGGAAGCCAAGGCAGGCAGTTCTTTTGAGCCCAGGTGTTCAAGGCTGGCCTGGGCAACATGGTGAAACCCTTCTCTACCAAAAATACGAAAAATTAGCCAAGCGTGGTGGTGCGTGTCTGTGGTTCCAGCTACTTGGGAGGCTGAGAAGGGAAGATCACTTGAGCCTGGGAGACAGAGATTGCAGTGAGCTGAGATGCGTCACTGCATTCCAGCCTGGTGACAGAGTGAGACTCTGTCTCAAATAATAATAATGAAGTCATTCTAAAATGACTATAAATTTTCCTCAGAACACAGCTTTAGCTGCCTCCTATAGGACTTGGGTAGGAAGGGATTCTACCTTTGCAGTGTTTCATATACAGTTTGTAACTCCAGATGAGTTTCTGACAAGTTTTGATCCAGCGTTTTTAAAAAGATTTTTCAATTTCAAAATATTTGTTTGCTGCTTTTTCTTTTTCTTTTCTTTCTTTTTTTTTTTAATTTAATAAGGTCTCTCTCTGTTACCCAGGCTGGAGTCCAGTGGTGGGATCACTGCTCACTGCAGCATCCAACTCCCAGGCTCAAGAGATCCTCCCATCTCAGCACCCAACCTCATAGCTGGGACTACAGGTGTGCACCATCACACCCAGCTAATTTTTAAAAGTTTTTTGTCAAGATGGGGTCTCACTGTGTTGCCCAGGCTAAGTTTCTTCTTTTTTAACATTTTGTTTGCTTAGAATTGTATTCAATTGTAATCAAGTCACGTGTCATATTTTTTCAACTTGTATGCTTATTTTGTGTATGATTGTTTTTTGCAAATATTTCATGGGCTTAAATGGATGTAAAATTCCCTACGCACAATTAATTCGAGTGTGTGGTTTGCATTATTCAATTCCTTTATTCCCATCCGTGCTTTTCATCTGAAGATTTGTCTAATTCTAGAATGGGTATACTGAAGCTTGGGTAAGGGTGAGGCTAGAGTTCTGGGTGCCCCAGCCTACTGTCCTGCCCATGCCACAGCATCCACGGAGAGGCCCAGCGGCGGCACTGGGACTGGAGGTCGTGGGGCGGGGCCAGGTTAGGGATAGGGAGGCAGTCAGTCTGGTTGCCAGGAAGCGGGAAAGGGCCACAATGGGGTTTGGGAGGTGGGCGGGGCGGAGCATGGGTGTCCAGCCCCGTCGCTTTGTTTTCCCACGCCAGGCGCTACCACCACAGGTCAGTGCACCTCGGGGCCTCCCCTCGGGGCACCGGGTCCCCCACGCCAGGCCCTCCCCGGGGCACCTTTTCCCAACACCACGAAAATCTCCTGCCCGCCCCACCTCCAGGTGATTCCCTTCCCAAAGTCTGGGTCTAAACTTGTCCCCAGCCAGTTCACGACCCTACCTAGCCCTACTCGGAGTCAGGAGCGGGTGATGGCCTTGAACCCGCTCCAGCCCCACGCCCCTTAGAGCCAGGAAGGAAGCTCATGTTTGTTTTGCTGGCGCCAGGGATACCGACCAGGCCCCGCCCCGCGCTAAGCCGAGGGTAGCGGGAAAGTGCGCTCCCCAAGAATCTGGGGTGGAGGGGCCGCTGCCACCGCCCTCGGTCCACAGGTGCTGCGAGCCGTAAGCTCCCCCGACCCGCGACATGGGCTCGGACGCCTGGGTGGGCCCTTGGCGGCCACACCGGCCTCGCGGCCCCATCGCGGCGCACTACCGAGGCCCCGGGCCCAAATACAAGCTGCCGCCCAACACCGGTAGCAGGGGAGGGCCCCGGGATTGAGGGAGTGGGACGGTGCCCGGGGAGGGTAGGGGAAGTGACCGGTGAGGTCTGTGCTCCGGGCCGAACCCGGCCTGTGAGCGGGGAGAGTGGGTCTGTGCCGGGGGACGGTCCGTGCGCCACGTTGGGGTGGGGCTGGCCCGGACCGGCGCTGACTCGGATGCTCCCAGGCTATGTCCTGCATGACCCGTCGCGGCCCCGAGCCCCCGCATTCACCTTCGGCGCGCGCCTCCCCACGCAGCGGACGACTTGCGGCCCGGGGCCTGGCCACCTGGTGCCCGCCCGCATGACAGTGCGCGGCCCGGACAGCGCCCCCGCCTACTCCATCTACGGCCGCCCGCGCCACTCAGCGCCCTTCCCAACTCCGGGACCCGGTCAGCACCCCCAGGACCCTGGCCACCCCAACGCCGAACTGCCTCCAGGGAGGTCCACCTGGGAATCCCCCACCTGAACGCCGAGTCCCCCTCGGATACCCTAACACCGCATATTCGGTACCCCCATATCCGGATCTCAAATCCCCAACCTCGAACCCCGCGGGGCTCTGACAAATAGCTCAGATTCCCCCCTTAGTCCCAGGGGCACCCACCAGGCCCCCACCCAGCTCCCGCCCCCACGCCCTTGATCCGCCCGGCAGGCAGGTACTTCCCGGAGCGAGCGGGGAACGCGACGTACCCCAGCGCGCCTCGGCACACCATTGCTCCCCGAAACTGGGGTACCTACGCCGAGCAGCAGAGCCCAGGTGAGGCAGGCCCATCCCAGCACTATAGGCCTCCCCACTCCAGGCCGGGGGACACCCCGCGCCTGTCCGCGCAGACCCACTACCCCCGAGCCCCGGCTCCTCTCCAGGTCCGGGGGCCTATACTGTGCCCTCGCTCTTGGGTCCGCGAGTTATCGGCAAAGTCTCCGCCCCAACATACTCCATCTACGGCCGCAGAGCAGCGGGCAGTTTCTTCGAGGACCTCAGCAAGGTGGGGGACGGGCGGGGCGGACGCAGGGTGTCCCTAGTCCGGCGCAGTGAAGGCGGCAGCCAGCACCCTCTGCCCTCCCGCAGACCCCGGGCCCCTGCGCCTACCACGTGGTGAGCCCGGGGGTCTACAAGTCCCGGGCCCCCCAGTTCACGATGCTGGCGCGAACTTCGCTCCCCCAAGACAGCACGCAGAAGCCGGGGCCCGCAGCTTACAACGTGGACCAGGTGGCCTGGAGGCCAGGGTCAAGGGTCAGGGGCAGGGCGGGCGGGGGCGACGCCGAGGGGCGGGGGGGACTCCGACTGAGGTCGGAGTTACGGGTTCAGGGTCCCGGGCGCGGAGGGGACGCCGGTCCCGCGAGCTCAGCTGCATCTCCCGGCCCGCAGCACCGGAAGCCCCGCGGGTGGAGCTTCGGGATCCGGCACTCGGACTACCTGGCCCCTCTGGTGACCGACGTGGACAACTGACCCGCCGGGCGGGCGCGGCCCCACACTTGTTTGCTTAAAGTTTGCGAGCCTGCATCGTGTCCGCCTCTTTCTCTCTGCGCGTCCCAGGGGTGGGGCCGAGTCCGAACTCCGAACCCAGCGGGGCGGGGCCCGAGCGTCGGGCGAGGCTCAGCCCCGCGCCACGTCCGAACGTCGAGACCCCAGAGAGCGGGATGGGCGACGCTAGGGCGCTACGGACACCGAAGGGCCGCGACGGGCGGGGCAAGCCAGTGGTCGCGGCCGCCGACGGTCCCGGGCCCGGAAATCCCGCGTGTCCGGGAGCATCTGGGGATGGGCCGGGACGCGGCGCGCAGGGGTTCGCTGGCCGAGGCGACTGTCCAGCCCCGCCCACCAGACTGCCCCACCGCCCTCTGTCCTGGGGCGCCGCCGCCCTGCCGCTGGCAGTGCACCGCTGTGCGCGAAGCCTGCGGTCTCGACCTGTGGACAAGGCGGGGTATCCCGGGCTGGGATCCGGAGCAGGTGGGCGAGGGCAGCTGTCCTGAGCAGGTACGGGCCGGGCTCAGGTCGTGAGGCCGGAAAGCGGGAGCCAGACTCAGACAAGGGCGACACAGACACGGGACAGAGGGTCGGACACCAGGGAGACGCAGAATGGGGTTGGGACAGGAGCACGTGGCTCAGACATCAACACTGCTTGGCCGCAGGTCCCAGACGTGCCAGGCATCCCCGCAGGTCCGGAGCGATGGCGGCCTCGATGACCCGAGGAACCCGGTCCCCACCCAGGCCTGGTGACCCCTCCGGGGAAGGGACCCAGGGACTTCCCGACCCCTCGCCAGAGCCTAAGCAGCTTCCAGAGCTGATCCGCATGAAGCGAGATGGAGGCCGCCTGAGCGAAGCGGACATCAGGGGCTTCGTGTCTGCTGTGGTGAACGGGAGCGCGCAGGGCACACAGATCGGTGGGTTGGGGAGGGTTGGGTGCCCCGATTCCAGCCGGGAGGTCAGCCGAGACTGTCGGTCCCTGGGGGTGCCACAGTGCCTCACCACCAGCACCGCACCGCTGTGGGCTGCTACCCTCACGCATACCCCCATATACCAGGGGCCATGCTGATGGCCATCCGACTTCGGGGCATGGATCTGGAGGAGACCTCGGTGCTGACCCAGGCCCTGGCCCAGTCGGGGCAGCAGCTGGAGTGGCCAGAGGCCTGGCGCCAGCAACTTGTGGACAAGCATTCCACAGGGGGTGTCGGTGACAAGGTCAGCCTGGTCCTGGCACCTGCCCTGGCTGCATGTGGCTGCAAGGTTAGAAACCAACCCCCTTTCCAGACCAGAGCCTATGACCCGAGTCAGCAACCAGGCCATCCACAGGCAGCTCCCAACCTCAAGCCTAGCCCAAACACCCCAAGCCAGGACCGAGGCTTCTCCCCACTCCACTCCCCAGCACAGAGCTTGGGGCCACTCTGGCTCCAGACCAGGCCCCTTGGAGCAGGCAAAAGATCCACTGATGGAGGCCGGGCGCGGTGGCTCAAGCCTGTAATCCCAGCACTTTGGGAGGCCGAGACGGGTGGATCACGAGGTCAAGAGATCGAGACCATCCTGGTCAACATGGTGAAACCCCGTCTCTACTAAAAAAAAAATAATAAAAATTAGCTGGGCATGGTGGCGTGTGCCTGTAATCTCAGCTACTCAGGAGGCTGAGGCAGGAGAATTGCCTGAACCCAGGAGGCGGAGGTTGCGGTGAGCCGAGATCGCGCCATTGCACTCCAGCCTGGGCAACAAGAGCGAAACTCCGTCTCAAAAAAAAAAAAAAAAAAAAAAAAAAGATCCACTGATGGAATGCAGACCCTTTCCCCTTGGATCCCCAAACAGCTCACCCAAGGGATGAGTAAGGACTTCTCTCCCTCTGCCCCAATCCTTGTTTTCCCCCAGGGATGGGTACCAACCTCCTCCCCTACTGACACTTCTCAACTGAGAAAACTTCCTTCCCATTCCCTCACTGCTGGGAACCCCTACAGCTGCTTAAATACTTTCTAAATCCAGCAGAAGTCCTAGCCAGGGAAGGTGAGGGGATGCATGCAGGTGGGGGGGAGGGGTACCGTGCAGGGTACTCAGCATCCCTGCCCATCAGGTGCCAATGATCAGTGGACGTGGTCTGGGCCATACAGGAGGCACCTTGGATAAGCTGGAGTCTATTCCTGGATTCAACGTCATCCAGAGCCCAGAGCAGGTACGGGGTTGGGGGGGGAGGTGTGTGCTGATGAGTCCTTGATCCGGGTTGATGATGAAGACATGACACTGGCCAGGATCACTAAAGGACCACTGGTGGATCATTAGGGTCACTATTGAGGTTATCCATCAAAGTTGCTCATGTCATTGGACCTGGGTCAAATCATCAGTGGAACTCATCAGGATCATAAACGAGGAGTTGATCAAAATCACAGATGGCTGGCTGAGCACGGTGGCTCACACCTGTAATCTTACCAGTTAGGAAGGCCGAGGTGGGCCGATCACTTGAACCCAGTTCAAAACCAGCCTCAATAATATGGCAAAACCACATCTCTACAAAATAAAAAAATTAGCCTATGTGGTGGTGCGCCTGTGATTCCAGCTACTCAGGAGGCTGAGGCAGGAGGATCACTTGAGCCTGGGAGGTCTAGGCTGCAGTCATCCGTGACCGTGGCACTGCACTCCAGCCTGGGCAACAGAGTGAGACCGTCCCAGCACTTTGGGAGGCAGAGGAGGGAGGATCGCTTGAGCCCTGTTGGAGATGAGCCTGGGTAATATAGTGAGACTTCATCTCTACAAAAAATAAGGGGGGAAAAAAGCTCATTGTGGTGCATGCCTGTAGTCCCAGCCATTGGGAAGTGGAAGTGGGAGGATCACTTAAGCCCAGGAGGCAGAGGTCACAGTGAGCTGAGATTCTGCCAGCTGCACTCCAGCCTGGACAACAGAGCAAGACTGTTTCTCGGGGGGGGGGGGGGGGGGGGGGAAGGGGAGCTGCTGTTACCAGAGGTCACTGAGAATAGGGGGTGTGTGACCAGATGCAAGTGCTGCTGGAGCAGGTGGGCTGCTGTATCGTGGGCCAGAGTGAGCAGCTGGTCCCTGCAGACGGCATCCTATATGCAGCCAGAGATGTGACAGCCACCGTGGACAGCCTGCCACTCATCACAGGTGACCTGACTCCATGGCCTGCTTCTGCATGTTAAAGCCCCTAACCTCTGACCTCACAGTCAGGGTCCTCTTGGTCCACTTGTTAGGAGTCACCTGACCGTGTGCCTGCACCTCCCCCCCCCCGCCCCATAATCACAAGATACCTGACCACCACCTTGTGGGGTGACCTCATACACAACTCACAAGGTGCTGCCACCCCCATCATAAGGGACTTGACCCTCAATGCTCAGGGCCCCGACCCCAAAGTCCGCATCCCCCAAGTCTCCCAGGAAGCTCCAGGCTCTCCATTGTCTCCAATTGCCTCTGCCTCCCCACAAAGCCTCCATCCTCAGTAAGAAGGTTGTGGAGGGGCTGTCCGCTCTGGTGATAGACGTTAAGTTTGGAGGGGCCGCCGTCTTCCCCAATCAGGAGCAGGCCCGGGAGCTGGCAACGACGCTGGTAAGTGGTGTGGCCTCTCCCTGGGGGTGCGTCTTGATGTGGGTCCAGCCTACCCTTCACCCCTTCCGTCCCCACTGCCTCTCTCCACTCAGCAGCCCTGCCGTACCCCAGACCCACCTTTTCCTACCCGAAGTCCCTCCCTCTCTCACGGCCCCGAACCTCCTGTGACTTTGGAGGTCAAGGCTGCCTTGGCCTGGGCCTGGGGAAGCCCTCCATGGCGCCCCTCCCCCAGGCCAAGTATAAGGTCCTCCTGGTCCCAGGTCGAGGTGTGGCACTTCGCTCGCTTCTGTTCCCCACCCCAATCCTTTCCTGATTTCAACCTGGTGGGGCTGGCAACCCCCAGGTTGAAAGGTGCATAGGGGCTGAAGTTCGATGAAGAACCGGCTGCAGGAGGCCCCGCTATGCAGGGTCCACGCTGAGCCTCTCTCCGCAGGTTGGCGTGGGAGCAGACCTGGGGCTTCGGGTCGCGGCAGCGCTGACTGCCATGGACAAGCCCCTGGGCCGCTGCGTGGGCAACGCCCTGGAGGTGGAGGAGGCGCTGCTCTGCATGGATGGCGCAGGCCCGTCGGACCTAAGAGACCTGGTCACCAGGCTCGGTGTGAACGGGGAGCAGAGGAAGGGGGCTTCTCGCCGGGGCCGCCCCCGCCTGACCGCGCCTAAACCCCGTCCCCGCCCACAGGGGGCGCCCTGCTCTGGCTCAGCGGACACGCCGGGACCCAGGCCCAGGGCGCTGCCCGGGTGGCCGCGGCGCTGGACGACGGCTCGGCCCTTGGCCGCTTCGAGCTGATGCTGGCGGCGCAGGGCGTGGATCCCAGCCTGGCCCGAGCCCTGTGCTCCGGAAGTCCAGCAGAGCGCCGGCAGCTGCTGCCTCGCGCCCGAGAGCAGGAGGAGCTGATGGCGCCCGCGGATGGTGAGGGTCGAGGGAACCCCGTCATCCCGCCTCCGTCACCCCCTTCCCTTCCCAAGCCCTGGCCCCGGCCCCTTCCCGAGGCCCCGTCTCTCAGCCCCTCTCCCCGCAGGCACCGTGGAGCTGGTCCGGGCACTGCCGCTGGCGCAGGTGCTGCACGAGCTGGGGGCCGGGCGCAGCCGCGCGGGGGAGCCGCTCCGCCTGGGGGTGGGCGCGGAGCTGCTGGTCGACGTGGGTCAGAAGCTAAGCCGTGGTGAGCGCCGCCCCCGCGCTGCTGCCCCCGCGCCGCTGCCCCAGACCCCACTCCGGCCGCGCGGCCTCTGACGCCCCTCGCCCTGCAGGGACGCCCTGGCTCCGCGTGCACCGGGACGGCCCCGCGCTCAGCGGCCTGCAACGCCGCGCCCTGCAAGAGGCGCTCGTGCTCTCGGACCGCGCGCCCTTCACCGCCCCTTCGCCCTTCGCGGAGCTTGTCCTGCCGCCGCAGTAATAAAGCTCTTTCGCTGCAAAGCCTTGTCCGTGCAGGGCGCGCCGGGGTGGGAACCGAGGGATCCGGAGCCGCGGGGCTGGGGAGCGCCGTCTCGGCGAACACGTGATCTCTGGCGGGCTCCACTTTCCGCGCACGCGCCGAGCGCCTGTCAGCAGCTGCGCAGGGCGGCCGCGCCCGTGTGCGCATGCGCGCAGCTCAGGGGACGCCTACTCCTTGGCTGCGAGTGTGAGGCGCGGGGGATTCCTGAGCCCACGAGGAGTTCGCGGGGCGGAGCGCGGGGAGTCGGAGGCCCGCGTTGCCTCCCGGGCCTGGTCCACTGACGCGCGGCCCCGCCGCGAGGTGCGGACGCCGGGGCCAGGTGGGGGCGGGAGAGGAGGAGGTAACCCCGGGGACGCGCTGGGCTCTGGTTTCCCAGTTCCGGCTGCTGCGCGGGGCTAGCGGGGCTTCCACCGATGGCGCGCTGGAGAGAGGGGCGAGGGTGGCGCCTGGGGGAGACTCCGAGCAGACACCGGTGTTCTCGCGGCTGAGGACAGTTCTAACGCGCGCGCGGCGCTTCGTGCGGTCCTGGGACCTTTCTGGCCAAGAGGGCGCTGGCTTTGGTGGGGAGGGGACAAGCCCAGAACTGCCCGGGCGCGGGGGCGGGCGCAGAGAGTCCCCGGGAGGGTGCCCCCAGCAGGACGGGAGCAGTGACGGGGAGTCCTGAGACCTCCACCAAGCAAACCTTCCCGGGGCCCGTGGAAAGGCGCAAAGGTCACCAATGCAAAGGCAGGGCGTCGGCAGTGAGCCCGGAGAAGCTGCTGGGAAGCCTGGATGTGAGGACGGTGGGGTTTTGTGGCGGGTAGAAGTGTCTGCAAGGAAACGTTAAATACCGGAGGCACGCACAGTCCGACGTCCGGCGTAGGTGGTGCAAGTTTTCTGCTGGGAGTGGGGAGGACGGCTATAGTTAGTTGAGGTGGTCCAAGGTGACAGGAAAGTGCTGGAGGAGTCGGTTGCTCTAGGGATTGCAAGCCAGAATATTACCCACCTCCTTTCAATAAACGGGTTTATTGCAAATAGATAACATGGTCAGGAGTCCAGGCGACGCAGCATTTGGAAGCTTTCAGTCAGCAAGAGGCGCACCTGCTGAGGCACAGGTACAGGGCAGAGTGTGGTGAGAGGCTAGGGATCCCAGGTGGAGGACCGGAGTGACAGGTGTGGTTGCCCAGGTGTGGATGTTTAGTGGCGTTCTAAGCTCAGATGAGCAGTGAATGCCTGTTAAGCCGGAACGTGGGCTGGGTCCTTCAGGTGGGTGGCTGGTCTCCAGAGTGGCAGAGGCAGCCCAGGTACCATCTTGGGCCTTCCTTTCTGGCCGCTGACGCCTGTGTTTGTTTTCAGGAGCATCAGATCCATGCTGCTGCTGACTCGGGGCCCCATGGCTTGGCACAGGCTCTCTCAGCTAAAGCCCCCAGCCCTCCCTGGGACCCTGGGAGGCCAGGCCCTGCATTTGAGGTCCTGGCTTTTGTCAAGGCAGGGTCCTGCAGAGACAGGTGGGCAGGGCCAGCGCCAGGGCCCTAGGCTTCGAACCAGGCTGCTGATCACAGCCATGTTTGGAGCTGGACTGGGTGGGTTCTGGCTGGCCCTGAGGGCTGAGAAGGAGAGGCTGCGGCAGCAACAGCGAATGGAAGCCCTACGCCAGGCAGCTGTGGGCCAGGGCGACTTCAGCCTGCTGGACCACAAAGGCCAGGTTCGCTGCAAGGCTGACTTCCGGGGCCAGTGGGTGCTAATGTACTTTGGCTTCACTCACTGCCCTGACATATGCCCGGACGAGCTGGAGAAACTGGTGCAGGTGGTGCAGCTGCTGGAAGCAGAGCCTGGTTTGCCTGCAGTGCAGCCTGTCTTCATCACTGTGGACCCCGAGCGGGACGACGTCAAAGCCATGGCCCGCTATGTCCAGGACTTCCACCCAAGGCTGCTGGGTCTGACGGGCTCCACCGAACAGGTTGCCCAAGCTAGTCAGAGTTACCGCGTGTATTACAGCGCTGGCCCCAAGGACGAGGACCAGGATTATATTGTGGACCACTCCATTGCCATTTACCTGCTCAACCCTGATGGCCTCTTCACCGACTACTACGGCCGGAGCAGGTCGGCTGAGCAGATTGCAGACAGTGTGCGGCAGCACATGGCGGCTTTCCGCAGCATCCTGCCTTAAGCCCCTGTGGGCTGGGCTCCATCATTAAACGGGGTACCTTTAATCTGCACGTGTGTGACGTGTACTAGCAGCCCATGGGGGCTGGACAGCCCTCTTCTCTGCACAGACTAGGTGTATGCAAAGTGGCTTTTAGGGGGAAGACAAAATGGCAACATTGCTTTATTAGGCTGTGCCAGCCAGGAAGCAACACTGGAGTGAGCAGACACACGGCTTCTCAGTACACATCCCCCCACCCCTGCCTCGGTGCTGTTCACTCAGGGCTGGGCCATGGAGGGGGCAGCATAGGTCTGGAAACGCTTGTGGGCTCGCTGGTGTGTGAGCAGTCTCAGGGACATGGTGTCCACGGCTGTCTCCAGCCCCGGCTGCTGAGTGATCTCCACTGTGTAGTCGTTGGCCTGCAGGGGTGGGGTGTCAGCAGGGCCTGAGACCGTTTCCCCCTCCCACTACTCCTGACTACTCACCAGCTGCAGGGAGGCCAACATGGAACGGCACACCTCGAAGGCCGGCTGGCCAGCCACCAGCTCCGCAAAGGGACACCACACGTTGAGCTGGGGGAACCGTGAGACTACCTGGTCCCCATAGGTGTGGATGTCAAAGGGCACGTGCTGCTCCTGCACAGGGGAGGGGCATGTTGGCTTTGGAGAGAGGCACAGGTCTGTAGCGGGCAGCTGCAGTTCCCAGTGGCCCCACCTCACCTGCTCCTGGAGCAGAGGCTGCACAGTGTCCTCCCAGTCCCTGATGCGCTGGCTCAGCTCTGTCTCCTGGACAAACTTCTGGGAGCTGGCGATGAAGAGCTCCTAGGGGAGGATTAGCAGGAGCTACCGCCTCCTAAGCAGGGGCTTGGGTGCCTCTCACCTACCCCCACCCTCTCTAACCCAGGCCTACCACATTCCTTCGAACCAGCTCCTCGTAACTCAGGGACACCGGCACTGCGTCTGGGAAGGGGCAGCTGTGAGCTGAGTGGCTGAGGGGCCACACTCCCCTGCCCCCAGCTCCAGTGGCCCCCCAGCACTCCTAGCCCACTGCCCACCTACCAAGGTCAGCAGCTTCTTTGGGGTCTGCTCCCTCGGGCTCCACATACTCCTCAGGCTCTAGAAAGTCATCTGCTGGGAGGTGGGGGAGTGAACAGCACACAGGCAGCAAGTCAGCTGGCACAGGTGCTGAGCCCCATTCCACCCCACCCCCCTGGCAGGCACACACCTGCTGCCCCCAGGTCTTCCAGGGAATCCTCCAGGTGGTGGTCCTCTGCAGGCCACAGCCCCTCCTCAGCCCTTGGCAGCCACTGCTCAGCCACCTGTCCAGAGAAAGCATCTGTGAGGGACACTGTCATCTCCCATCAGGGCCACTATGGGGTCCTAGATCACAGCTGAGCAGTTGGGACTTGCCTCCCTCCTCTGTAGCTTCCGGAGAGTTTCCAGCTGCTCCTTCACGTGTGTCCAGTACAGGACCTCCATGTCTGCAGACAAAGGCCTTCTGAGAGCTCCCTCATCCTTCCCAGGTCCCGTACCAGTCCAGCCAAGGCTTTGGGTAACACCAGGTGGGGGTAGAGATAGGGGAAGGACAGTAAAACTGTCTTCCCTGAGGACCTAAGCCTCACCTGCAAAGGATGGGCCCTTACGCCGGGACCTCCTGCTGTCGGCATGGTCAGCATCTGTGAAAGAACATGGTCAGCAAAACTAGACCAAGAGCTGCCCACGGCATTGGGGATCCTCTTCCACTGGCCCTGACCCAGCTCCCAGGGACTCGAGTGCCCACCACACCCACTCACAGGCTGCCAGGTACCACTGATGGAAGTCTTGCAGCTTGGCAGCACCCTTCCTCTTGCGCTTCTGTCCTGGAGTCTCCTCCACACAGGGGGGCACAGAGTAAGGCCTACCTGGGGGCAAACAGACTGTCTTGGAGCCGCCGTGGGATCAGGGTGCAGAGCCCACTCCCATTCCCCATTCCCCTACCTCATGCCCCAGCAAACCCAGCCAGGGATACCTGAGTGGAGGTATCCTCCACCCTTACCTTTCTTCTTTTTTTTTTTTTTTGAGACGGAGTTTCGCTCTTGTTACCCAGGCTGGAGTGCAATGGCGCGATCTCGGCTCACCGCAACCTCCGCCTCCTGGGTTCAGGCAATTCTCCTGTCTCAGCCTCCTGAGTAGCTGGGTTTACAGGCACGCGCCACCATGCCCAGCTAATTTTTTGTATTTTTAGTAGAGACGGGGTTTCACCATGTTGACCAAGATGGTCTCGATCTCTCGACCTCATGATCCACCCGCCTTGGCCTCCCAAAGTGCTGGGATTACAGGCGTGAGCCACCGCACCCGGCTACCCTTACCTTTCTTGAAGGGCTTAGAGTCCAAGGAGTCAAAGGGGTCCAGGCTCTGCCAGGGGTCTGGAGTCTCCTGGGCACAGAGCACAAGCAGGCACTGGGGGAGTTGGGGGTGCACAGCCATTCCTCCCAAAGCCCAGACAAGTAGAGTGACAGCCTGCGGTAGGGCCAACCACACTCAAACCCTGGATCATAGAGGGGAACATTCAAGGGAGGGAAGGAGGGAGCCCAGAGCCGCATGAGGGAGTCTTTAAGAGAGCAAGTGCAAAGGGCCACAGGCTGGGAACCCTGCAGGGCAGCAGGAGCAAGGGCACGATGGGAGGGCAGCCAGCTCTCAAATCCACCCATACCCCTTTGACGGCCAGGGCCCCAACACTCCTACCTTCACATGGGATGCAGGCTCTGGGGCCCCCTCTCGCTCCCGCAGCATGTACCTCCTGGGCAGGGCAGCATTCTGCAAAGACAGTCACAGACGAGTCCCCACTTCTCCCCCCCGCCCTTTTTTTTTTTTTTGAGACGGAGTTTCGCTCTGTCGCCCAGGCTGCAGTGCAGTGGCATGATCTTGGCCCACTGCAACCTCCGCCTCTCGGGTTCAAGGAATTCTCTGGCCTTAACCCCCCGAGTAGCTGGGACTACAGGTGCATGCCACCACACCCAGCTAATTTTTTGTATTTTTAGTAGAGACAGGGTTTCACCGTGTTAGCCAGGATGGTCTCGATCTCCTGACCTTGTGATCTGCCTGCCTTAGCCTCCCAAAGTGCTGGGATTACAGGCGTGCGCTCATTTCTCCCCTTTCTCCACTCAAGGGTCTGGGTACCCCAGAACTCCACCTTGGGTCAACATCAAGAACCCCAGAGGCCAGGCACAGCAGCTCACACCTATAATCCCAGCACTTTGGGAGGCCAAGGCAGGTGGATCACCTGAGGTCAGAAGTTTGAGACCAGCCTGGCCAACATAGTAAAATCATGTCTCTACTAAAAATGAAAATGAAAAAAAAAAAAAAAAAAGTTAGCCAGGCATGGTGGCATACACCTATAATCCCACCTACTCGGGAGGTTGAAGCAGAAGAATTGCTTGAACCCAGGAGACTGACGTTGCAGTGAGCCGAGATCACGCCACTGCATTCCAGCCTGGTTGACAGAACAAAACTGTCTCAAAAAAAAAAAAAAACCTACAGGGGCCAGACACAGTAGTTGGTACCTATAATCCCAGCATTTTGGGAGGCCAAGGCAGGATCACTTGAGCTCAGGAGTTCAAGACCAGCTTGGGCAACATAGTGAGACCCTGTCTCTACAAAAAAATAGAAAAATTAGCCAGGTGTGGTGTCACATGCTACTTGGGAGGCTGAGGTGAAGGATCACCTGAGCCTGGGGAGGTCAAGGCTGCAGTGAGCCAAGATCAGACCACTACACTCCAGCCTGGGCAACAGAGCAAGACCCTGTCTCAAAAAAACACCCTGCTTGTACTCTTGGGTCATTAAAAACCCTAAGAAAAACTTTAAAACACACACACACACACAAACACACACAGTGGTCATGGGGTACTGTTTTTCAAAAATAGGAAAAACGTCAATTGTGACAAACATCCATGTTATCTACCAATTTTAAAGTTAAGAAATGTTAACATTTCCTCCTGTAGGTATCAAGGTTGATTTTCTTTTTTAATGAATAAAAAGGAAGGATTTCTTCCTTCTACGCTGGATAGAGTTGCCCCTGGGTGTGGAGGGAGGCAGCAAAAACCTCCAGACACCCCCTCCTACTAGCCCAAATACAGAAGAGGCACTTTGGCAACCAGTGGCCATCCCAGCTAGCTGTGAGCTCAACAGAGCTCAAACGCCTGGATGCCAGTACAGTATCTGAGGAGCATCAGTTCTGATCAGAGAGGGGAGGAACACAGAAGCTGCTATTCAAAAGGGCTGGTTGCAGAATGGGCTGCAAGGCGGGCAGGCTTCTGCCCAAGACCAGCAGCCTGGGGCCAAAGCTGTAGCGCTCTCCTCCTTGTGCAAGCTGACTCAGCCCCAGAGCCAGGGTCGCCTGGTTCACAGCTCAGGCTCTGCAGGCCTCCATGTGGGTCCCACCTGCTGCGGGCTCCTGGGCTCCTCGGGCTCCAGAGCGGCTTTGGGGGCCGAGGCCTCAGGAAGCTCTACTGCCTCCTCTGCGTCCTCATCCTCACCCCCGCCCAGGGGCATCGGGCTTTCTGGAGAGGGGCCTGGGCAGGGAGCAAGAGAGTGATCAGCTCCAAGGAGTGTCAAGACCAGACGGCACCAAAGGGACCCTGACGGCCACTCCCTCCTCTCAGCTTTGGTCACTGGAACCCAGAGGATTCAGTGGGTGCCTTGCACCCTCCTTGTCATGCTAGTATGCTCTGCTTGGATCATTTTATTTCTTAGTAAATGTTCCTCTTTAAATGCAGTCATCCACATCGGCCCAGAGAGGAGACCCATGAGGGCAGTCAGAGCGCAGTCAGTGAGCCGGGACGGGCTGAGGCTCGGGTCAGGCTGGGGGCCTGGGCTCCAAGGCTGTGGCTGCCTCCCCTGAGTGAGGCCTCACTCCCGAGGGCCACAGAAGGGGCATGAGGCTGGCAGCTGAGCACAGCCCCCTGAAGCCCTGTCTACTACGTGCTGCCTCCCTGGCCCCCTCTTTGGCTGCCCTGCCAGTCCCACCAGGGAGCTTTCTTCTCACCTGGCTCCTGGGAGAAGCCAAGTGCTGGGACGAGGCTCCTGCACA